AAAAAAAAAAAAAAAAAATACATAAAGAAAGAAAGAAATTTTCTTTTTGAACAAGTGTTGAAAAATGTTGATGGGCTTGGCGCCTGTGGCCCAAGCAGCTAGGGCGCCAGCCACATACACCTGAGCTGGCTGGTTCAAATCCAGCCTGGGCCCACCAAACAATAATGACGGCTGCAACCAAAAAATAGCCGGGCACTGTGGCAGGCACCTTTAATCCCAGCTACTAGGGAGGCAGAGGCAAGAGAATCTCTTGAGTCCAGGAGTTGGAGGTTGCTGTGAGCTATGATACCATGGCACTCTATCCAGGGCTATAGCTTGAGGCTCTGTCTCAAAAAAAAAAAAATGTTGATGGATAAGCTGGGCGTGGTGATGTTCACCTGTGGTCCTAGCTAGTTGGGAGGCTGAGATGGGAGGGATCACTTGTGTCTAGAACTTCAAGACACAACCTGGGTAACATAATGAGTTTTTTTTTTGTTTTTTGAGACAGAGCTTTAAGTTGTCCCCCTGAGTAGAGTGCTGTGGCATCACAGCTTGCAGCAACCTCCAACTCCTGGGCTCCAGCGAGTCTCCTGCCTCAGCCTCCTGAGTAGCTGGGACCACAGGCACCCACCACAATGCCCAGCTATTTTTTGGTTGCAGCCGTCATTGTTATTTGGCGGCCCGGGCTGGATTCGAACCTGCCACCTTAGGTGTATATGGCTGGCACCTTAGTCACTTGAGCCATAGGCGCCGAGCCACATAATGAGTTCTTGTCTCAAAAAAAAAAAAAGCCTACCAAAAGAAAGAAAGAAAAATAAGGAAAAATGGTAATGGATAAGGGACGAGAACCTGAAATGTCACATAAATATTTTGCTCTTTTTACCTCTTTTTGCCCTTGTAGCAATGAGATAGAAGGAACCTCCCCAACGATAATTGCTGAATCTTCTAAAAAGAGACGTAGCCATATTTATTCATTCTTACCAGATTTGACCGAGGTCTTAGCTTGCGTTGTCTGACAGGCTTATTGGTTTGCTCCCTTCTAGAGCCCTCTTCCTCCTCCCCTCAGCCCCTTAGTTCAAGATTTGTACACGTTAAGAATGGAGAACATACTTAAGACTAAGATATCCAGGTGTGTTTTATTTTTATTTTAAAGACACATTTGACATTTTGTTAAGTCTGTTCAAATTGTAGGATGTCCTTTCTTGAGTGATGTATCATTGACTTTATTTT